GGATGGGGGCGGCGCTGGTGCGGCGCGGGGGCTGCCTGCTGCTCTGGCTGGCCCTGCTGCTGGGCTGCTGGGCCGAGCTGGGCAGCGGGCTGGAGTTCCCGGGGGCGGAGGGCCAGTGGACCCGCTTCCCCAAGTGGAACGCCTGCTGCGAGAGCGAGATGAGCTTCAACATGAAGACGCGCAGCTCCAGCGGGCTGGTGCTCTACTTCGACGACGAGGGCTTCTGCGACTTCCTGGAGCTCATCCTCACCCAGGGTGGACGGCTGCAGCTCAGCTTCTCCATCTTCTGTGCTGAGCCCGCCACCCTGCTGTCTGACACGGCAGTCAATGACAACCTCTGGCACGCCGTTGTCATCCGCCGCCACTTCAAGAACACGACACTGATCATTGACCGGGCCGAAGCAAAGTGGGTGGAGGTGAAGTCTAAGCGGCGGGACATGACTGTCTTCAGCGGCCTCTTCTTAGGGGGGCTCCCGCCGGAGCTGCGGCTAGCGACGCTAAAGCTGACGCTCTCCTCTGTCAAGGACCGGGAGCCCTTCAAGGGCTGGATAACGGACGTCCGGGTCAACTACACGCAGGCATCGCCGGTGGAGAGCCAGGAGGTGCGGCTGGATGATGAGCAGAGCCGCCTGTGCGCCAGGGAGGACGTCTGCCTCAATGGGGGCGTCTGCTCGGTGCTCAACGACCAGGCTGTCTGCGACTGCTCCCAAACAGGCTTTCGGGGGAAGGACTGCAGTGAAGGTAAGGTGCCATTTCAGCTCGCCTCCACCGCCCCCCTCCCCATCACTCCGTGGAGGGGACGGGTAGGAAGCCAGGCCTGCATGGAGTTTCATCTGTACAAGTGGATCTCCCTCTCTCCCCTTCCCTCCCCGCCACGTCCCCAGCTCCCATCTTCCCCGCCTTCCCCTCCCTGCCCTCCACATGTCTCTGTGGCCGACCATGGTGCCATCACTTTTCTCTTCTCTGTGAGGGTGGGTGAGAGGAGGAGGTTATTTGGGCATCTTCCAGAAGCAGGGTGCGTTTTGGGGTTGTCCCGGGCAGAGGAAAGATGGGTCCTGGGTGCCAGGTCTCACCTGGAAGGGAGGGGGCGGCTGGCATCATGCTTGGCCAGAGTCGAGGCGGGGACGGGCATGCTTGTCACAAGCAGCTGGTGGCAATTAATTTTGGGAGCGCAGAAAGCGATGCTGGGGAGAATTTTACCGGATTAAGTGCAAAGATGGCCTGGGTTTATTTTTGTAGGGTAGGGGAGACCCAGAGTCCACTTTGTATTGATATTTGCCTCTGCTACGTCGCTGAAATAAAATCACTGATTTATTTGTGAATTCCTTAAATCGTTGCCAGGGAAGAGGGGAATTAAACGGAGGGTTATGTTTTTACATGAATGTGAACGGTACTGTTTTGCAATGTATTTAGCAATTCACCATGCCAGGGAGAATACAAAAGGACAAGGGGGAAGTACATACTCCAAGACCACAAAATTACTGCATAGTTTTACCAAGTACAAGGGAGCTTAGAAAAACAGCAGTTTCCTGAATCCCTTCTACAAATAAATCACTGGGTAAAATATGATTCATATTCAGTGCCCATTGTTTTTGGTGAATGGAAGGAGTGTGAATAATTACTTTGCAGATGCATGTAGGACTCTTTTTTTATTATTATTATTTTGCTAGTAAATGTACCATTGCTTGCAGCTCCTTAAGCATAGAGAGTACATATGTTGTATACCTAGAACAGGATGTAAAGGTATACGAGTGAAATAAGAACAAATGTATCAAAGGAAAATATAATCTTCATGTCAAAATTGGAAAGCAAAGACCTAAGTTTAAAATGTAAAAAGTAAATATAAATAAGGTATTATCAAGGCCAGATGAAGATCTTCACTGAGTGGCTGCATGACATTTATGGCTGAATAATTTGCCTTTATCATTTCTATCAGATTTCACTCATTATAAGAAAGAAAACATCATTTGTGACTGTGCTTTATTATGTAACACCTTCTGTCCTTAGTGTCAATACTCAAAACACTAGAGTCGTTCTGCATCCTGTTTACTTGATCAGCTGTTTATCTCTCATCTGCCATTTGTTAAAAAATTCAAACCCTATTAACATTTTAAAATAATTTTTAATAAGTAAAGAGCAAATGATAGTTTCAGAAAATAAGATGTTTGTACTTTCAATAGCACACAATCCCAGAAACTGTAAAATGAAATATCTTTTATATTAGGTAAGATCATACCAATGGAGTTAGTATTTGGATGTAAATTTTTAATATGTGGTACTACATAATATGTAGGTGTATGTAAAATATTGAGTTGTCTTAGCATCTTTGAGTTAGGCCCTATTATAAACAAAAAGAAAATTAGGAGGTGTCGCAGCTTCGTTAAAGAAACAATAGTCATTTATATATTAATATACATTTATATACCCTTTACATTAAAACATAGTTTATTTATTTGAAGTTATTTTGAACATGTAATATTTGTATGAAAAAGTTCATATAATTGCATGTAATATCAGTCAGAGAAAATCTTATCTTTACATAATCATAAGATCAATAGCTATTTTTAAGGAACATTTTTATGTTTAGACTGAATGTTATTGAAATACATATATATGTTTTTATATATTAAAAATTGTATAGAGCTTATAAGAAGATGACACTCAAAATAATATTTAGAATCCCCCAAATTTAGGGTAAAATGTTGGCTTCATTCAAATACTGGTGGTTTTACAATTGACCTCAGTGGGATCAAGATTCCCCTCATGTGTCCCTTGACCACTAAGAAGCCTTATAAAATAATAGCAAGACTTACAATTTTAGCATACTTTCTCAACAAAGGATCATAAAGTGTTCAGGTTCTGATTTCATTTGAAAAAAGTAACATTTCCACTGATAGCAATATAAATGGAACTAGTCCTACAGTTTCTGTCTGTTGATTGGGAAAAATTAGTAACTGAAATTCATGTCAGTCAGATTTTGATGAAGGGATCAGTAGCTACTCATATGTGCTACCAAAGATATTGAACTATTTTATAAATGATTTAATATTCTAAGAAATAGAAAAGGCAGAAGGACAAGTAAAACCATTATGTCTGCCAAGGAAGAAACCCTGGCTATTGTTGTTTAGTACTTTGTAGCCAACATAGAAATTACACTGTTGAGTTTTGATCTTTTGTTCCTAGAATGTGTAAATTTCTCACAAAGCTTAGTAAGAGGTTGCCATTGCTGAAGGATGCAGGATCATCTCAGACTGCAATGATCTGGAGAGGTCTTGAGTTTTCACTCTGTCTTGTCCTACTTTTTGACTAAAAATGGTTTAGATGGAAAAAATCCCCAACTTTCCATTTTTATCTGAAATTGTAACCACATGTCCTAGTTAATACCCTTTCATTAAAGGTGAAAGATGGTCATGAAATTCTATTTTCTTTGGATTTTTTAATTTTCCTTTTTTTTTTTTTTTGGCTTGGATTTAGTGTGCTTCTGCATCTCTGCAGTCTGGTAAGGCAGAGAGCATAATGAGGACTTTAGAAATCAATAACAACAACAACAAAGAAAACCTTTCAAAAATGTTCTATCTACTTGCACATTTGAGAGACTAGAAATAATTGATATAGAGTCAAAGTTTCAGGCCTTAGGATGCAATTTTTGATAGCACTTAAGTTATTTTCAGGAAAAAATCTGGTGGGGGTTTTTTTTTCAGATTTTCATCTTTGAAAATCTCATTAATTTTTCATGAAGTAAAATTTTCGTATAAGACTGAGGTTTAACCAAGTTTATTTGTTTTGGAAATCCCATAGTAATATAAGTTATTCCCAGTAGGCTTAACTGTCCTTGTACCTGTCTAAATCAGGAGTAGCTTTATTTATGTTATCTGAACTACACCAGTGTAAAAACAGCGTAAGCTAGGAAAGAAACAGATTTATTGCATTCAGTCATGCTCTTTGTTCGAATAGGATCTAAGCTCTCTTCAATAGGAGGTTTGGCATGAATCACAGAAAAAGGACTGGAGTTTTGCTTGAGTATTGAGGGTGTGCAGTCTACAGCACAGAAAAATACGATCTGTAGCAGTTCTGTTGTTGATTAGTCCGTGTGCTTATGAGTAAAGACAGTAAAAGAGCCTTCTAAAAGAGAAAATAAAATCTCTATTAAGTACTGAAACAGGCAAGGGAATATTATTTCACATAATAATAGTGGCTCAGTAGAAGGAAAAATACACAAAATTATGATAAATTTTGTTAGGAATAAGACTAGCATTAAAATAAACACTGATTGCCATATCAATTTTCTGATAAGTTTTTGCCATACATCACAATCATCTATTCAGTGAAAATTATATTACTCCTTGAAATGAATCAAATTGGTATGGCTTGATTCTATGATAGGGAGAGCTGTTCATTAAAAAGACTGATCTTTAAAATCAAATTTTTAGTGAATTAAGTCAGGGTCCTAGAAGGTAGGGAGAATACATGATTCGTATCAGTGAGCCTCCATATTCCTCTTCTCATTTTGCTTCTTATATTAAAATTTCAGAACAAAAAAACTATTTTAAATATTAAATTTATAAAATAGTGACCCTCTGGCTTTAGACAAAAAAAATATATAATTTTCCTTTCATCCTCATTTGTATAAAAATAACCTTGTCCAGTATCCTGTCTGAGAAAATAGACAGATACCTCTGAAGGAGGAAATAAAAAACACATAACACACTTTGACTTGGGAGAATTTTCTCACTGACCCCAGCTTCTTGTCACTCCATGCCCTTCTGCTTTTCTATATCTGTAACTGCTTGAAAAAACTGCATACAGGATATTTTATCTTTTTAAAATATAGCTGGCCTACTTGCCTCAATATTAACATGTTATAGAGACAATTACTCTGTGAATTCAAAGTATTCTTGTTTAGAACATGTTTTATTTTAACTGTTCTACTGAGATTCTCTTTTCTGGGAAAAATGAGGACCGTTCATGCAGCTGTTCGCTGTTAGAGATGTTCTTCCTTGTCAGATATTCAGAAGTTGATGCCAGCTATGGTTTGAACTGTGAAAGTGATTTTTTAAGGAAGCGAATTCCAGATGTCTCAGGCTAGCCAGCATTTAGATTTGTTTGTTTGGGTTCTGAATATATTACATCAATCTTTGTTGTGTATATTTGCTTCTTCATGTTAACTTTTTAAAAAGTCATCCAATATTTATATCTTTGTGAAAAAATTCATATTTTAATTCATTCAATTCTCTTATGCCTTGAATAAAACATATACAAATATTTTGGCATTAATTATCTTTTGCAAGATATGTGTTTGAGTGCAAAGCGATGCTGTTGAACTCATTGCCTGAAGTCATTCTTAACAGAGTAGCCACCTTGGTCTTTATCCATCTTGAATAGTTAGCTAAATATACTTTGAGCTAGTAAATACTGTGAGCAAAACTTCCCTTTCGATTTACACTTCAGAATCTTTATCTACAATACACATCTCTATTACATGATCTGTATTTCTTCTGCATGCTGAATTTCTTGTCAGTACCAGTGGCCACTGGGGTGACATTGAGTTAGGAGGAGGGCTAGAAATCCACCAGAGATTTCACTAAGGTTCTGTTGTATTTACAGATGATTTGATTAATTTAACAGTAAATGTTTTAATTTTATTTAATATTTTTAAACAGTAACTTTGTCAGGGTAGAATCTTAAGGGCAGAGAATCAAATAATCCCAAAGTCTTTCAAAACTGTATTAAATATGTGCCCT